CAACTCACGGGCACCCCGCGTGTGCAGACACAACTGCTTCACCTGCAGAAATGGATCCAGGCCTGGCCTCAGAGGCACCCTGGATGGGTTCAAACCGCCAACCCTTCGGCCAGCAGTCAAGTACCTGACCATGTGCGTCACCAGGGACCCTTCGGTTCTGTGTGGACTGAAACACCCAGGACTGCTGGTCGCACAGCCCATCGGCGGCCCACAGGGCCTCTGGACGCGTCAGAGTTCCGTCGAGCTGGGCTGTTCCTGGTGCTCGTCCATTAGCCAACTGCCCTGCACATGTGCCACATGACACAGAAGACCCTCCACTTTGTCTCCCACAGAAAGGACTTAGCTACTCCCATTTCGGCACTTCCACGTAAATTCCATGTCAATCAGCCTATCAAGGTTTTTTGACAAAAGAAAAATTGGCATGATATTTAGAATTACAATGAGTCTATGGGTTAATTTGGAGAATACTGACATTCAGTTCTTTGTATCTCTGAAGACTGGAGAGCTCTCGTGGTAGACAGAAGTCTAAGATGACCCCCATGACCCGTGACCCTGAGCGTCTCCTCCCTCAAGTGTGGGCGGAGCCTGTGACTATGAGGAGACAGGCACTCTGGCATCAGGCTATAAAGCACCATGGACGGCAAGAGGGAGGGAGGAGAGACGGATGGGTAGGTAGATGGATGAGGGGTGGGTGACCAGACGGATGATGGATGCAGGGAGGCGGATGGACAGGTGGACACGGTGACGGATGCATGAATAGGGGGGGTGAAGATGAAGGGTGGGTGAGGAGCAGATGGAAGGAAGGGGAGGAAAAGATAGCTGGGTAGACGTACGCAGGGATGGGTGATGGGTGGATGGACAAGTTGCCGACTGGACGGACAGGCGGGCAGATGGAAGAACGGAGGGATGGGTAGATGCACAGGTGGATGGAAGACGGATGGATGGATGAGGAGGCAGGTGAGTGATGGGAGACAGGTGGGTAAGAAGATGGAAGGAATGAATGGATGGATGGACGGGTCGGTGGGTGTGTGGGTGGATGATGGCTGGACGGTGGTTGAGAAAACGGACAGAAGGGGAGAAGACAGAAAGGAGTTGATGAGAAGAAACCTACTGAGCGTGAAGTACTTGCACCCGAAACATCACCTAATTACAGAGAGAGCACACGTTTACACCAAGGGCCTGGCAGACGCCACCTTATCAACTGCTCAGTCGTGGGCCCAAAGTCCAGAGAAGGTTGAGGTACAACCTCCCGGCCCGGGGAGGTCAGAGCCATGACAACACAGGCACCCCAACTCAGAACTGGTGTCCTTGCTGCAAAGGTCACTGCTGGCCAACTGGGGCTGGAAGTGGGGTCCAAGCTGGGCAGCAACAAGGCGTGCACATGGCCTGGCTTCCACGTGGTCGTGGCTACACGCAGGAGCGCCCGTGTTTGTGGGAAAATCTCACCAAAGCCTTGAGGGGTGGGGGCAGCACAACAGCCCCGTCCTCTCAGATGATTTGAGGAAAAACCTTGTACTGGAAACTGTTCTCCAAGTTCACACTGTCCCCTCGTTCTCCTTTAAATTTAACCTGAGCCAAACCAAACTCCTGGTCACCTCCCTTTCCCCAGTAAGACAGCGGCAATTCTGTCTGGTCGCTGTGGAGAAGTCCCTCAGCACTGAGAGGTGGGGACCCTGAGCCCCTCTCCTGGGAGTGAGTCTGCAACACCCCACCCTGCCCGGCGCACTCTCACCCTGGGGAAAGCCAGTGACGGGCCCCACCAGCCTTGCTCCGGCCTCACCCCCCTGCTCTCCAACC